TCTGTCACCACCTGATAACCAATATATTTTACTTATTTATGTTCTGTTTCCACCCACAGTATGTATTCTGTAAGGGCAGGATTGAGTTGGTTTTGTTGATGTAGAGTAGTGCCTGACATATTGCAAGTGATGAATAAATATTTGTCGAATGAATGAATGAACGAATGAATATCACACAACTCTCATGTTCCTGAATCCCCTGGGCTGGCTGGGCAGTGTGTCACCAGCCCAGGGTCTCAGCAACCCATTTACCATTGACTTTGTCTGTCAGTTTCCAATGCTTTTCCACTATTCATTTCCGAAAGGGAAAAACTCAAGAAGCCAGTGCTCTTGGAGATACAGCCAGACGAATGGAGGTTGGGAAGTGGATGGAGAGGAAGGTGTTGCTCTGGGCAAACTGAAGGTGCATTGAGGGGGAAAATGGGAGGAGGGCAAAAGGAAAAGAGAGGAGTCAACTTTGGTTCATTTATTCCTTGCCTTCAGCCTTGAAGTGGAAAATCACTGTGGAGGCGGAGAGAAAGTAGGCTTGGCCTTTCATGGCCAATGGAAAAGAGAGTTGGAGGAGAGGAAGGTGGGTGAGGGAGAAGCGGAAGGCTTCAGACACTCTATTTAGTTTGGCTCACCTGTGGGGAAAAAGCATAGGTCTGTGCAGGCATGTGAGTGTGCGTCTAGGTGTGTAGGACTAGGGCTCAGGGGGTGCAGGTGGAAGAGAGAGTCTATGACTGTGGAGGCTGTCTGTGAGCATGTGTTTACTGAGGACTGGGGATTATGGGTGCAGAAAGGTGTGTGTCCTGTGTGTAGGTGGGTGAATAAGCATCTGTGTGCTTGCACATGGCTCTGTGGAGAACAATATGTCCCATTCCTGCCTCTACAGCTGAGGGAGGACTTTGAGAGCGTGGCAAACAGCCCAAGGAGTAGTGGAACTGGGAAAGGGCTGGGCGATAGGGCTCCAGGGAGGGAACAGTAAAGGGTCTGGGGTCAAATCTGTGGAAGAGTAGGCTAAAGAATAAATTAGTAATTGTCTCTTCACAAAGAAATGAATTTTGTCCCAGTGGTTATGGAGGTAGACAAAAATAAAATGCACTGAAGTTATATCCAGAGAAATTTAGGTTAGACAATGAAAAATGATCTTCTTGACTTGGAAGGCTATTAGCCTCTGGAATGTCTTAAAAATCAGGAGGAAGGTCTTCAATAATAGGGCCAGTCCCATCTTCTTGAAGTGGAAAATGGGCAATTCTGCCTGGGAATCCTCATACACACTCATTTCTTCATTTACATATTTGTCCATCCAACATTGGTTTTCTATCCTGTCAGACCTTATGAAGGATACAAAGATTATTAATCCATGGTCTCTTTGCTTAAAGAGTGCACAGTCTTGTAGGGATGAAACATGGATAGCAGCCATGATAACTCAGGAAGCCCGTGATGCGCATCTCCAGAGAAATGCAAATGGGCTCTTCTGGAGGACCACTCGCCAACCTCTCGGTCCTGGGTCATTTCCAGAGTAAAGTCTGGTGGTGATGTCATGGCAAGCTGAGGCCACTATTTCAGGGATTCTCTCCCCTGATCTGCCCAGGGGAGTGGGGCTGCAGGTTAGGGGGGATCCTCTGGAAAAAGGAGCTGTCACCTGCTCTGTGGTCAGAGGTCAAGTTACAGTGGGGGGCTATATGTTTCTTGCCTGGAGTGGTGAGGACCAGGGATTGGGTAGGGACAGATCAACATCACAGAGGTGAGATTGGGGGTGTCAGAGAAACATCTCAGACACCAGGGCTGTCACACCATTTCACTCACTGTTGGAGGGATTTGAATTTTGAATTGTGTTTCCATTCAAGAAACATGGCTCAATGTGGGGCTGAACCATGATGATGATGATGATGATGGTGTTCGTTACCACTTTTCTGCTAGTCATTGTACTAAGAGCCTTACCTGTATTTTTAATTTCATTAGAAGGCAATGCATCCCTGGGTGCTAGGGTATATAGCAGTCAACAAGGCAAATATAGTCTGTCTTCCTGCAAGGAGCTAGAGGAGTAAAGGGCCAATTATGACATAATGT